AAAATTTTTAGTATATTTGTCATTTAATTTCATTAATATATTTATTTTGATTTCCTATTGGCTCATCTGTGTCCTTACTGAACTTAAGAAACAATTATTTCATGTACACTTAAAGGATTGTTAGCAAGGTGAAGTTTCTGTTCTGTGAAATAGAGAGGGGGGAATTAAATGAATATCTAAGAAATCTATTATTTTCTAAATGTGACTAAATCACCAAATGCCTGCTATAAAACCTCATTGTTCTTGCAAACTCTAAAGCATAGTTTTTAAGTTCTCTCTTCCTGTATCATCCTGTATTATTTTATCTCTTGATTCTCTTAGTGCTTTTCTTTCAAGTCTACAAGTTTGATCAGAATCTTTTAATTAGAAACCACAGTGCTATAAATAGTAGTAAATATAAAATTCTTTACATCAAAGGGCAAGCATATAAATAGGATTTTCTCCTCAATTTTTTTTTACAAAAGACTTTGTTCTTTTTTGATGGAAATTGTTATCTGTTCCAGCAAAACTTATTAAAAAGCATCTAAGTGCTTTCTTAAGGATACTTCTAAAAGAAGAAACATGTTACGAGGAATTGCACATTGCATTATGATATGTTTTTAATTATTTTTCCTTATTTTATGAGGAAAGATATTAGTCATCATGCTACTGTGCTGCTTTCAGCACTCAGCTAATTATACACAATGTGAGGAAAATGTCTAAATTTTTCCTTTCAAAATTCTTGTTAGTTTGATTATTTGTAAGTGTTTCACTGGTGATTAAGGTATTTGACCTATTTGAAATGAAAATCTTCCAAACACATTTAAGGTTACCTCCAGTGCAGTGCAATGATGTTGATCTGCAGTGATGTATGTTGGTTGTAGTTTGATGTACATGTATTCCCTTCGCAGATGCTAATTCTTCAGGGCCAGTTTCTGGAGAAAGCTGAACCCCAGTCAGAGTACTGAAAGGACATCATTATTCAGTTGTGTTTCTTTGTAATAATAAGTAGTCATATTTGGTACTGATTGCCCATCTCCTCTGTTACTGCAGTGATTGATCCCTGAGGCATGGAGCAGGTGATTTAAAATAATTGGAATCACATTGCTCTTGGTTTGACAGCAAGGTTTGCATACCACTTTTGTTTTTCTAGAATTCAAGCTTTTAATCTTTGTTTTAGATAAAATACCATTGTGCTTAGTGAATTGAAATAATCCTTTCCACTCCATTTACTTTTGATTCCTTTCAGACATTCACTGAGATGCTTAAACTTAACAATATTTAACAGAAGTTAGCTCTCTCATAGTTGCATTGGATGCATGGGATGCTTAGTATTTCCTTCTGGAGGGGCTTGCAGGGTAATATAATTTATGTGCCACTAGAAATTGCATCTGAAAGTACTGGAGCTAATTTCGGAGTTGTTATTGATGTTTTCCTTCTTCGGTTGCTTGACATTAAAATTTCAGAACTTTTTGATTGTGTTGGAGACATGTCGTTGTGCTCTTCCATTAAGTTGTTAGCTTCTCCTTTCCTGGCTCTTGTTCATGCTCTGCATTGAGTACATCTCTTCTGGTCTCCAAGAACTCCCCTTTTATGACTCAGTTGTCAGCTGTTGATGTGTCAAGCTGATGGTTGTTGGAAAAGCCTCAAATTTTCCAAGAGAATTCCTTGGTTTGAGAACTGAAGGACATAATTGATTGTCTTGCTTCAGTGATTTAGAGAGACCTTTGCAGGTGTCTTTCTTGTTACTTCTGTTTGAATGAGGTGGTATAGATGGAAAAGTACTTATTTCCTTCCTTTGGGTTCTTTTATTGACATATGTCTATGAATGTAAGCTTCCTTTGCAGCTGGCCAGTTTACCTATTCACTGAGCAGGCAGGTAGTTGTGCTTAAAAATAATGTAGAGCCAAGACTTTTTAAAATCCATTTCTTTATTTTGTGGTTCTTAACAATTCTTCTAAATATGTGGTTATCTTAAAAAATGTACTGACCGGAACTCTTAAGGGATAGGGTTTTTTTATGCTGAATGAGATTTTTTGTCTGCCATCAAAAGTGGGAATCTGTCTTCCTCCTCAGTCTCTCTTGGGTGTGACCTCTGGCTTCTTTGCATTGCATCTACCTCATGGTTTCTTTGGATCAGCTTATTTGTCTGACAAAAATTGGACCCACTCCATGTGATGATTAATTTTCTGATGCTGATCAGACTTTCTGGCTAGTCACATGAGCTGACAAGGGAGAGTAGGTGGGAACACATGGCCAGGATGGGGCAGAACTGCTCATTTTTGGCAGCAACCCACAACGTGCAGTGTGGCAGTGCTTTACAAACACATATCAGGGCTGAAGGAAGGGCTGCAATTCCTGGAAAGGGCTGAGTTTGTCAGGCTATCCAAAATGTTTTGGTATCTCAGTAGGCTTGAAATACCCTTGGGATACACTTGATTGCATTTGAGCTTAAAATTAATGGTAAGCTTTCTGGGTTTGTATCATGAGTCTTGGGAGATGGTCACATCTGTGTAATTTTCCATATTAATTTCTTAAGAGGTATTTTCTCCCTTAAATCCACATCAGTAGTTTCTGTCAGGGAGTAACTGATCCAGGGTCACCTTAGAAATGCATTAGCCTTCTAGTTGTTTATATTAGAGACATGTTCAAGAGCGGAAATCTCCCAGACCAAATCAATATGGTGCAATATACCTAGTGGTTAAAAACCAAACCAAAACAATCTAGTCATTTTTGCTTTTATGGTCTGTGAGGTGAATACATTTTAATGGCAGATGTTACATTTAGTATATGTACATTTAGAAATCCATGTTAGGCTTTTCCTGTTTTTACTGACTAATTGTCTTTTGATACCAGCATATGGTTGTATAGAAGACTTGGTTATACTGTGTAAAGAAATCTGAATGATGACACATACTATTAACAAACAAAAAAGTGCTGTAGAATGTTCTTTGCATTTAATAATGTAATGATGATAAGCAAACAACTGGATTGCCATTACTTGTTGATCAGAAGGAGGTTGTTGCAGTGCAGGTAGGTAAATGAAGGTTAGTTAAGGTTAGCAAATGTGCTGCAGTGGAACAAGGCAATGACAAAACTACCATTGGCTCCTTTTATGTTACTTGATACTTGGCCTGTCACATCCTGTTTGTGAGCAGCAGCTTAAGAATTCACATCTAGCAAGAGAAGATGAAATTTTAAAATCATTCAAAGCAGACTCTAAAGCCTGAGAGGTAAAAAAGAAACAACAATCGTAATTTGATAATTTGTTGATGGTTATTTTACTGTATTTGTGGTTGCATAGCTGCTGCAGGCCAGAAATAGCTAAATGATGGTCCTACATGTGGGTGCCGTATGTGCTGTGGGTGTCTGTACATTCTGTGGTGTCTTTCATTGCCAGCTGGCTGTGTCTTTTTTATGTTTGTTGGCTTGCTTTTTTATTATTTTTAAAATCTTTTTTGGATAGAAAGTAGGCTTTTAATATTGATGGTAATTATTCACTGAAATTATTTGCCCAGGTAAGCTAAATTATATGTTATATTCAGTTAGTTGGTCAAAGACTATTCAACTGTGCAAAAAAGAAGGTCTTAAATCATTCAGAAATTATAAGAAGCACTTAGCAAAGACCTATGGCCTGTGTTAGGTGTAATGGGGATAGCTGAAAGGATATCTGACACTGAATTATATCTACTGAGGCAGTTTCTAAGAAGCTTTCCAGTTTTACTGTGTCCTTCTGAAGTGTAATGTAGATGTGTGGATTTTCTTGTCATGCAATTTTGCATGCATGTCCACTGCAGTGACACAGCCAGGCATTTTTATAGAGGGCCCTGAGCCTGAGGGTCCTCTGCTAAGAGAAGCTGTCCTGACATTTGTTTATTTTTTTAAAGCATTCATCATGTTTGTGGAAATATATTCATGGTTGTTGTCTTTTTTATTTATTAATACTCATGCTTATATTTGTAGACATAAAAAGAAAATTTTGCTGTAGGGCAACTAAAAAATGTAATAATCAAAAAAGTCATGGTTCCGTTGACTTTCTGTTTCTTTGATGCTGTTCCTTTCCAGGGAAACTGGTATTCTCAGCTCTTCTGGATTTAATGCCTATCAAAAGCCTGCCAGTAGTTTTAGAGAGTGAATTTGATGATTCACATTATCCCATCCTGTCCCGTGTTTCCCAGAGTTTTCAATAAATCATTTGTTACAGTTGTACTATCCTGTATTGTATTTATTTGGAGAAGTGTAGTTGAGAGTTGTAAGTGGTTCCTCAGTGTTTCCTCTTAGGTCCTCTGTCTACATGCTTCAAATCTTCATGTGCAGATTTCAATGGAAAGAAAATAAGAACAAAGTTGATACTCCTCCAAAGTGTCTGCAAGTAGCTTTTCTTATTAATTAGCTACATAACATGGCTGTTCTGTTTCTTGAGAGTTTTCAGGTCTAGAAACAAGTGTTGTGTTTCTATTGGATAGCTGAGTATTTTCTTCCACTACTATTAGAATAAAACACTGTTTCTGGCAGATCATGAGTTATGAAGTATTCCCATGTTTGTCTTCTTTAGGACTGTGAAAGGAATTCATTTGGGGAAAATATATGGCAAAGAAAGGAAGAAAAGAAAGAAAGAAAGAAAGAAAGAAAGAAAGTTTCTACCACCCATTTTTCTTTGGTTTTAGTGACTGCTCAGGGGGCTGGAGTTTTGGGACCCTTTTAGAGGAGATAGGTTACAGGGTGGTGAGTCAGAGCTTTACAGAAAATGCAACTAATCATATTTTAGCCCATTGCTATGGTCCTAAATGAGAGTCTGTCTGAATGAAGTTTCTGTCAGGTAATGTTGGTGAGAATTGTGAATGTATATGTGACTGACCAAACCAGTAATGTCTCAGCTGTTCTCCACCAGTCAATGTCCAGAGTCAGGTTAAGAAACATCTATATACTTAGTATATATATATTTTGTTTCTGCATTCACAAACCAGTACAATATGTTTTGTTGTGGCTGAATAATAATTCCAGTCTTTTCTATATTTCAGTCTACCCACATTGCTCGAGCCAGCTTCCAGGTTGATGCTTTTGGATCATCTTTCATCCTAGATGTGACACTAAACCAGTAAGTAATGACTATCTTACTCTGCATTTGTTCAAGACCTGGTACCAGTGAAATGTAATTTTTCAGTGGAGGTTTTAGAGGCTATGTTATGACACAAATGCTATTTTAGGTAGTGAGTTGATCTATAGTAGTATATTTTAAGTTCTTCTGTTATTTTGTCGAGTACCATTGTAGGCTTTGATATTCCCATTTTTGATACTTAGTAGCTATTGCAGTGTAACTAGCATTTTAGTATTATAATTTCATTTCACAGTCACAGAATCACAGGATGGGTCAGGTTGGAAGGGATTACAGTGAATTATCTGGTCCAACCTTCCTGCTCAAGCCAGGTCATCCTAGAGCTCATGACACAGAATTGTATCCAGACGGTTCTTGAATATCTCCAATGAGGGAGACTCCACAATCTCTCTGGACAATCTATTCCAGTGCTCAGTCACCCGCAGAGTAAAGAAGTTCTTCCTTATATTCAGGTGCAACTTCCTGTGCATCAGTTTCTGCCCTTTGCCTCTTGTCCTTGTCCCTTGTCTTTGTCTCTTTGTGTCTTGGCACCACCGAGAAGAGCCTGACTCCATCCTCTTGACACCCTCCCTTCAGATACTTATAGACATTGGTGAGATCCTGTCTCAGGCATCTCTGCTCGAGACTGAGTAAGTCCAAGTCCCTCAGCCTTTCCTCATAAGAGAGATGCTGCTGTCCCTTAATAATCTTTGTTGTCCTCTGTTGGACTTGCTTCAGGAGTTCCATATTTCTCTTGTACCGAGGAGCCCAGGACTGGACACAGAACTCCAGGTGTGGCCTTGCCCTCTTTCAGTTTACCATAAAAGCAAATTTCTCATGCAGAGCCTCCCTGGATATTAAAAGGTGGATTTGCTGAAAACTGGTGGCTGTGAGCATTTTAATAACCAAGTGTAAACCACACCAACATTTAAAATGTATTTTTTATTATCATTCCTGTGAAAAAATCTATTTCATTCAGGAGGTTGTATATATTTTTCTTCTTTTGCAGTTCTTACTCTCCATAGTATATTCTATGTGTATATTTTAAGAGACCTGAGAAAAAAACAACTAATTTTTTTTGAGAAGTGGTTTGCAAATTTAGACCACACTAACTTTATAGTTGAAAAGTTGTTGAATTCTTGTAAGCAGCAAGGTTCAAGATTTTAGTTATTCTCTGGAAAAAAACATCAGCTTAGTACTTATAACTGAACCTCTGCTAATATCTAAAGCATGCTGAAGCAGGCCCCTGTGGTAAAATTAGCTCTTATGTGTAGTATGCATTTGAAAAATGGTAAAGGAGGTATGGGGGACAGAGTGGGGAGAAATAATTTGAAATACATAGATTATCAGAAAGGAGAGACTGTCCTTGCTTTTGTCCATCTTCTTTCTTGCAGTTTCCATGTTGTTTAAAGGTTGGTGTATATGACTTGTACATATGAATATATCTGAGCATCATCTACAGTTACAATATCAGTGGTGGTCAGTCACAGTGAAAGTGTTTATTCCTCCATGTGGTTCCCCAAATTATGGAGGAAATAAAGTTCAAAATTAAAATGAGAGTAGCAAACAAAGAGCTTAAAAAAAAGCCAGAAACTAAAATATGCCCACCTCCTAATGATTGTCCTCATATAGTTTTTCTTTTTTTTGTGGCTTTCTGTAGGGGTGTTATTTTCTCTATTCTATTCAAATCCATCTTTTTATCTGACAGGTTCTCTGTTTCCTTTGCTGCATTTGTCTGTGCTATCTCCTACATCCCCCTGTTGTGTACCCTTTTGTATTTTCAATTCTGTTGTGTTTGTGTATTTTTCATCTCTGTTCTTACTCAGTTCTCCAGCGTCACACATTTCTTTCTCTTATCTTTACATCAGTTGTCCACTTTTCCATCACCACAGGTACCACACAAAATGCTTATTTTACTTGCAACCTTTTCCTTGGCAACCTTCTGTACACTGACAGTTCAGGCTGGCAGAAATGTTCAGCATCTCCTACTTGTCTCTCTTCCCCCATTGCCTGATACCCTCTGTTTTATCTCTTCACTTCACCAAAGGACGTGCTACTTTTAAGCACAGCATTGCTAGCCAGTCAAAACAAGTCCTGCCCTACTCTGCACTGGTGTGGCCTCACCTTGAATATTGTGTGCACAATATAAAAAAGACATTAAGCTATTAGAGAGTGTCCAAAGGAGGGCCACAAGGAAGGTGAAGGATCTGGAGTGGCTGAGGTCACTTGGTCTGTTGAGCCTGGAGAAGAGGAGACTGAGGGAAACCTCATTTCAGTCTACACCTTCCTCATGAGGGGAGGTGGAGGGGCAGGCACTGATCTCTAATCTGTGGTGACCTGTGACAGGAGTTGAGGAAATGGCATGAAGCTGAGTTAGGGGAGGTTTAGGTTGGATTTTTCACCCAGAGAGTGGTTGGGCACTGGAACAGGTTCTCCAGGGAAGCGGTGTCAGCACCAAGCCTGACAGAGTTCAAGACGCGTTGGAACAATGCTCTCAGGGACATGGTGTCACTCTAGGGGTGTCCTGTGGTGTTCTCTAGGGCCAGGAGTTGAACTCAATGATCCCAATGAGTACCTTCCAACTCAGGATATTGTATGATTCTCTTGAATCTGGGTGTTAGTTGAAGCAACTTTCCTAGTCCCTTCCTCTGCCACCTCTTACAAGAGTGGCCTGCAACCAAAGGCTGATTTCTGCAGTGAAACAAGCTGGGAAACGAGGTGGACAGGGAAATAAAAAGAAGCAGAGCTTACACTGATATTTCAGACATCAAGAAAACTGAGGCCTGGGACAGGAGTGTTCTGCAAGTTCTGGATGCAAGTGAGAGGAAGGAAACAAAAAAATTTCCAACTGGCATTTAAGTGTAGCAGTTTTAATTTAACACTGAAATCTGCGTGCTTTCTCTTGCTCACTTTGGACTCAACCAGTTGTGAATGTGCATTTGTTCGCATTAAATGCAGATGTCAAATACACTGAAGCATAATGTGGAATGATAATAAAAAATAATAATAAGCTGTTATAATTATAGTGTAGTTTCCTTTTTTTTTTTTTTTTGCAATGATGGTGGTATTTTCTCCTCATAAGTCACCATTTGTTCTCTCTTCCTTTTTTCCCCAGAGTTGCCATAGTGTCTCTACAATGAGCTTTTTTTAAGATACAGTGTTTCTTTTTAGCTTTTCTTGCCTGTTCAACTGGCTGAAGCTTACAAAGAAGCTTTCAGATCGTATCAGCTGTATTTTTAAAGGGTTCAATCCCTTAGGCAGAGGTTAGGGATGCGTTAGTTGCGTCGGTGTGTTTATGAATCCATTGCCTCGATATCCTTATGCGTTCAGGGCTGCATCTAATGGAGCTGTTTTCTCTGGCTATTCCTTGTTAGTGCTGCCTCCAGCACCAGCAGAGCTGGGGCCGGCTGGCCGGGCAGTGCAGGCAGGTGCTGCTCGCAGCCTTCCCACTCCCATATGTGTTCAGTGCTGGCCACTGACCCAGACCTGTGCAGGAGTCACAAAGCAATGAAGTGTGCTTCCTCATTTTTTTTTTTTAATTCCTTCCCCTTGAAATTTTTAGTACTGTCATGTCATCCGTGGCTCCGCAAATGGCTATTTCTTTCTTCATGCGGAGTATTTCTTCTTAAATGTATTTCTTCTTAAATTACACTCTTATCTGTGCTTGTCTGGAGAGTGGATGGGCTCTGGGTTTGCTTTGTGATAACCATCATAGGTAAGAAAGATGCAGCATCAATCTTCATATAAGGGCTGTGATATCTCCCATCATGGAGACAAGCAGAGAGTGTTTCTTAAGTATGAGTTTGAAATGTGGTCACTTCTGAGGTGCACTGTGGACACCAGGTGCCCTGGTGAGGAGATGCTTGGCCTTCAGAAAGCTACCTGAAGCATCTGGCTACCTGCATGTACTCTGGCTTCTCATATTGTAACAAAAAAAACCCTCCCTGATCATGTCTTTTTTTTTTTTTTTTTTTTTTTTTTTTGGTGAGAGTGAACACATTGATAGCCTGGGATCCTCAGGTTTGTGGTGATGAGGAAGTACTCTGAAGGGTCACAAGCATAAATAAGGATTTCAAGTTTATATTCAGTGCTTCAGGACTGCTCTGTCCTTCCTGGTGATGCTCAGTCACTAGGATGGAGCATAGTCAAAACCTGCTTTCTCTTCTTGTAACACAAATTTAATTCCTCTGGTCCATGTTTTAGTGGAAAGTAATCTATAAAGAAGTAGTAGGCTGGGCAAGATGTGGTCAGAAACTGCCACTTTAGGAAGCTCACACGTCTTCTCTTCCCGTTGAACAGCTGGCTGTGTCCCAAAGGAGTACCAACACTGTGTATAAATTAATGGCCTTGGTGATCAACTACATTCAGGAGACTGAAAAACTAAACATCAGGCAAATTTTAAAATCTCTGCAATCATTCTATTCTCTATGTGGAAAATAAACACCCTTTTCTCTTAGTTTATCAACAGATAGGCAAAAAAAAAGAGCTTATTCAGAAAATATTGATAGATCTTTTGTATGTATCAGTCTTAATTTAAATTATTTCTGGTTAGTAATACTGGAAGGTTCCTGGAACTCCAGCAGTTGAATTATTTTGTCTCACCACTGAATGTTTTTTGCAGCTTCTGCTGGGAGTCATACAGACATTCCTCATGCTTTGTGGGGAATGTTTATTAGGAATGCCTTTTAACTAGTTTTGCAAACCTTACAGAATCAGATTGTAAACTTCCTCTAAAAACCCTGAAAACAGAAGCAGAATAAAAGGCAGCCTGACAGACAAGTGCCAGCATTTTCATGAGGCAAACTGCTGAAACCTTGCCTGTAATTTCTCTTGGCAAATGGTCTCCAACACTAATATCAATGTGTCATGTAAGCTGTAAATGAAAAACATATTCCTAAATTTGCTCTAAATTGTAAACATTTGGCTGCGTGGAATTCAAAAGGATTAATGGAGCTTTAAAAAATGCAGTTACACTGTTTGCTACTATTGTAGTTTTGGGTGAG